AATGGCCTGCTGTGTATTCTTATATTATGCTAAATCGTCTGTCTCTGTTGGAATTATCTATTGATTGCAGATGCTGTGTGCTGGAACAGAGAAGTGTAGCTATGGCTACTGCTCTAGACTCATTGGTTCTGAGCCCCTCACAAACTCTTGTAAAATGAAGACTGGCACCACATCGCTAGGGGGTGTTTGAATCTTTTTGGAAAGCTGTCACAGTTGAACATTAAAGTCAAAAAACTTTTACAATTAAACTATAAAGATTTAATGTGACAATACACTGCCTGCTGTATTGAACATCCATCTACAGAGAGACATAGCAACTGCAGATGTGTCAAGACAGGTGTGTCCAAGCCTTAACAAAAGGTCCCATTTCGTCTATCACATGGAAAGAGGAATGACAAACCATTTCACCTGAGTTCCTCATTCCCCATGTTTTAAATCATCAGCTTACTTCTGTTTATGTGCGTCATATGTATGCAGTGCTAGAGGAGACCAGAAGGTGGCGTCAGATCCCCTGGAACCTAAAGACTGTTGTGAGTTGCCATGTGGTTGCTGAGAATTGAACCTGGATCCTCTGGAAGAGGAGCCAGTGTTCTTAACTGCTAAGCCATATTCCTAGGCCTCCATAAACTTTTTATTTTTAGATCCATCCTTATTATCAATATCATATTCCTTTTCATGTATCAAAACTCATGGTGAACATTGAGGTTTGGGTTATAAAAGAGGACTTAGCAAAAACCACCAGTTCTACTTTGGAAAGTTTTAAGGAAGAGTTTAAAACACATGTGAAAGTAAGATAGAGTCTTTATTGAAGAAGGTTCACATCTTCAGTGGATGATGGTGGTTCTTAGGCTGTCAACTCCTCTTCAGAGGGTGAGCCTGAATTAAAGCAGAGGAAACATCTGCAAGATACAATTACTTTTTGACAGTGAAAACAGGTTAAGTCTGGGGTGTACTTGCCAAAAGATGCTATAGATTAAGGCCATTCCCTCACGCTTTCTATTACTGACTGCACCAGTCAGTGACTGGGGACTTGCCTCCTTAGAGATGATAGCAGAGATGAGATACATTGTGATGAAGACAGGTTGTGTTGCACACAGTGGAATTTTTGTGAACAGTGGGCGTGTACAAGCGCCATTCCCACTATAATTCCCACTATAATGGAACCAAAAATTTCTTGTAATCTAATCAAGTCATTGTAGCTCATTGTAGCTGTCCTTATGTCCTATGCAAAGCATTGCTCAGCATGTCGTGATGCTGGTAGACAGACCTACTCGGTTGCCAGTCAGTAAAAGTATAGTGCAGCCAAGCGTGGAGGCTACTTGTATAATCTGAGCACTTGGGAGCTATTCTAGTTTGCTTACTCTCCTTCTTTGGTAAATATGGCCAAAAGCAATTTAAGGAGGAAAGGGTTTATTTAATTTTTACAGCTTACAGTCCATCATGAAGAGAAGTCAGGGCCTAGACTCATTTAGGAACCTGAAGGCAAGGCCTGGACAGAGACCATGGAGGAGGAACACTGCTTACTGGCTTGCTCCCTCTGGCTTGCTCAGCTTGCTTTATTATACCATCCAGGACCACCTGTCCAGTTGTGGTGCTGACCAGAGTTGGCTGGGCCCTCCCACCTCAGTTATTAATTAAGAAAATGCCCCACAGACATGGCCACGGGCCATTCGATAGAGACCTTTTTCCCCCAGTTTAGGTTCCCTTTTGCCAAATGACTCTAGCTTGTGGCAAGTTGACAAAAAGTAACAAGTAGGGAAGGCTGATAAAGGAGGATTCACATGAGTGCCAGGGTAGCCTGAGTTACAGAGTGACTCAGTTACTCTCTCACAAAACACAAAGCAGCAATAAAAAAAGAAAAGTCACACAGTGACAAATGAAGTGTGGACAGTGCATACATAATACTTGAAGAGGACAGTGAGTTGCTGCAGGTGGTTTAGATGCTTACCTGACCGTCATTAGTACATAGTGTATTAACTTACGTCCTTACTGTAAGTACAATGCCTTGCTACCCTAGCTGCCCCTCTTACACTGGCTACGCGGTCATGCATGTGCACGGACATACTCATGCCTGTTAGGTCTGAGCTAAGTTCAGTATAATTTCCGCTTGAGATAAAAAACACATTTGTTTTCCTAAGATGGGATCTCATGTACCTCAGGCTGCCTTGAAACTGACTGTGTAACTGAGGATAACCGTGAATGAATGATGTTCCTGCCTCTACCTCCCAGTGCTAGGATTATAGGGTTGTACCCACTATGTCCTATCCTGATCATCTACATCTTCTTCCAACTTCCTAAACAAGTTTAGGGTTTTTGTTGTTGTTGTTGTTTTAATTATTAATTTTATTTTATGTACATGAGTACGCCATTGCTTTCTTCAGACACGTCGGAAGAGGACATCATATCCCATTACAGATGGTTGTGAGCCACCATGTGGTCGCTGGGAATTGAACTCGGGACCTCTGGAGGAGCAGTCAGTGGTCTTAACCACTGGGAAATCTCTCCAGCCCCAAGTTTAGGTTTCTTTAAGGCAGAAGCTTAAGAGTAAAGTTAAACTGATTTATCGCTTAATTTTTCATAAAAATGGTAAGAGATCTTACGCAGCTGTGGCTTATATTTTATACCATGTAAATGCAAAAAAAAAAAACCTTTATATTTTTAGAACTGGCTAAATCTTGATTTAATGTTTGGACCTAGAAATCTTTTTTTTTCTTTTCTTTAAATTGTGTATGAATGTTTTGCCTGCATGTATGTCTGCACCATGTATGTGCTGGTTGTCTTCAGAGGTTAGTAGAAGACATCAGATCTTCTGGGACTAGAATTATAGACAGCGGTACACTGGCATGTGGGTGCTGGGAATTGAACTAGGGTCCTCTCCAGGACGATCCAGTGCCCTTCACTGCTGAACCATCTCTCCAGCCGTAGGCCAGATGTCTTGATGGAGGATTTGTGATAGCTTTAGTTTTTAGATGAGCTCTCATGGATGTCAGGCTTGATTTCATAAATGCATAAACTCATTACTGGAACCACTAAGTGTACTAGATGGTAGTTTACACCAAGAACACTACACACTAAGATAATCATGTGGCCAGCGTATGGAACGGATTAAGTGGCCTGCTATTTGGGTTCATTTTAAAAAAATTATTCTTGGAGCTGTGCCCCCACAGCATGCATGTGGATGCCAGAGGGTGACTTTGTGCAGTTTCTCTCTCTCTGCCTTTGTACCTTTGTAAGGGTTCTGGGGATTGAACTCAGGAAGTCAGGCCAATTCAGCAAGCCCCTTTACGTGCTGAGCTTTCTCTTTGACCAACTTGATTCACTTTGAAACTTTGAATGAGTGGAGGCCACTTCTGTATTTCAGTAGCAGGGTAATGTTGTTACTATAAAAGCCTGTCAGGATTTTTGTAGTTACTTGGGTTGTGTTGTTAGGGGAGTGGTCTTAATTTGGGGGCATGATTGATTGTGGAATAATTAGTTCATAGTTTACATGGGGACTTATTTTTTTAAGTACTTGTTATTATTTACTTATGTCTGTCTGTCTGTCTGATGGGTGTCTGATCCATTGGAGCTGGAAGAGTTACAGCTTTCTGATGTGGGTGCTGAGAATTGAACTCAGGTCCTCTTCAAAAACAACCAACACATGTTCCTAACCATGGAGCCATCTTTTCAGTCCCTTACGGGGACTTTTAAAAGGGGAGGAATGGCTCCCTCTGTCATGCCAGAAGTATATTTGTGACTGCTTCTTTCTTCATTCTCACCTGTTAATAAAATAATGACAGTGTTAATGTTATCTGAATAACACTTGGAGTCAGAGCCCCGAAGAGTGAGATACTGAGAAAACAAAAACAAGACAAGACACCCCCCTACAGCCCCCCCCCC